AAGTAGCAACGAAAATAATTTTATGGTTGGGTCACAACATGAGGAACTGTATTTAAAGGGCCAGAAGGCTGAGAACCACTGTCTAAGGCAGTGATGGTGAATCTATGACACGCGTGTCAGAGGTGACACGCGAACTCATTTTTTTGGTTGATTTTTCTTTGTTAAATGGCATTTAAATATATAAAATAAATATCAAAAACGTAAATCTTTGTTTTACTATGGTTGCAAATATCAAAAAATTTCTATATGTGACACGGCACCAGAGTTAAGTTAGGGTTTTTCAAAATGCTGACACGCCGAGCTCAAAAGGTTCGCCATCGCTGGTCTAGGATGATAGCCGCCCAATAGCACGTACTGCGTACCAGGCGCCGTTCTAAGACTAGTTCACTTAGGCCACAGAGTGAGGCGCCATGGTAGGTTCTATTGCCATTGCTACTCACAGAGGTGGGAAGTGAGGCTCAGAGAAGCTGTGTAACTTGTCCAAGACCACACAGCAAGGGGCAGAGCGGGGACTTGAACCCAGGCGGGCCAGTTCCGGAGTTTGTGCTCTCCCTCTCCCTCCCGCACTGTCTCTCACTCCCGTCTCTCCTTTCAGCCTCCTCGGACGGCCCCGCGTGGGTTCTTGGAGCCGCCCGTGCTTCCCGCCTGCCTGTGAGTCAGCGGGAGCCCTCTCCCGGTCAGACTGGTTGCCCAGAGGTCCCTCGCACCCTGTTTGGACACGGGGCGTTAGTAATGATGGTGTGCAGAAGGCTGTGTCCGGGCAAATTCCTTCCGTCCCCCAAGGCAAGGAAGGGGAACCCGCCCAAGACTCGGGCAATTCAATAAAATTTGGTAATAAACGCACTCTTTTGAACATTGTGTGCGTAATAATTAGGATGGAAACTACCGAGAAGATGAAAGTAGCGAGTGGCTAAGTTGTCAGGGTGGCTCCTGGCAGCGTGGTGGGGAGTCAGCACAGGGTCCTCCTCCATTTGGCTGGACTCGGAGACACCTTCTCTGAGTCTTACTGTTCTCATTCCTCACAGGAGGGGACTGGATTCCGGGTAGAAAACGGTACTTTCCAGAGCAACCTAATGCTCACAGAAAGGACTAGATTTCACACATGCCTAGTGGACAGGACAGGCAGCGGTCAGGTTCCCACCCGCATGGCCCAGCCTCCTCTGCGGCCAGCCTCCTGCTTCCGACGGCCCATCAGCACGCTGGTGTCTGATGACAGGTTGCAAACCTGGTCACATATTCAAAGCCAAGAAGGTTTCTTGGATGGGGTCCAGGCCTGCAACGTGTGCTTTTTTAAACAGGCTTGCTTTCTTATCCACTTACCTGACTCCTCAGTGGATTTTTCTAGATTGTCAGAGTAGGTGGTCCATCATAGACCAAAGAACGTCAGGGCTGGGAGAGGTGACAGAGCAGCACACCCTGGTCTCTCCACCAAGGTTGTCTGGGAATCACCATCCTCGTTTTTACAAGATCTACAAACACCTGATTGAGTATCTTACTTTAAATAAACAACTATTGTAAACTGAAATGAATCGTTTTAAAAAGGAAATTCTTTATCATTCTTATTTTGTTGCTGTTAATCCTCACCCGAGTATATTTTTCCATTGAACTTTTTTTAGAAGGAGTGGAAGGGAGGCAGAGAGACAGAGAGAGAAAGACATCAATGTGAGAGAGACCCCCTCTCCCCCCCACCGCCCACACATGTCCCGACCAGAGCTGGGGATCGAGCCTGCAACCGAGGTACATGCCTTTGACTAGAATCGAACCCAGGACCTTTCAGTCTGTGGCCCGACACTCTATCCACTGAGCCAAACTGGCTAGGGCTATCATTCATTATTAAAAGCATGGATTTGATTGCTCCTTACACAAACATACATGCATTTCTAACGTGCACTGAAATAAACATGTAGCAATTGAAAAAATTTTAAATGTTCATCTGTGTACCAGCCAAAACTCCTTCCAGGTGCGCATCCATGGTGCAGGCCCTTGAAGCATGAGCTCCAAGCAGAGCAGAGTGTACGGCTGGAGTGTGACTACAGAACACATCCATGGGACATGGCCATGGTGCCTGTCCCCGGAGCACCTCCACATGCATGTCACGGAGCACATTCATGCAGCATGTGTATGTGCCTGTCTATGGTGTGCATGCACTGAGCATGCCCAAGGGCACATGCGTCACATCCATTCACAAAGCACAGCCACAGGCCATGTCCAGGGGGGATGTCCGAGCGGCACGTCCACGCAGCACAGGCCCGTCCCCGTCATTTTGCCGGGAGGGGGCCCGAGGTCCAGGAGGGTTGTCCACAGCCTAAGCCTACCAGCACGGAAGCCCATTCGGAGAAGAGGCCCAGGCTCGGAATTGAGGGGCCCTGTGGGGGCTCACGTCGACTTGGCTTGTTCATTTTCCAAAGGGTGGTCAGAGTTTTACAAGATGTGATGTGGCCGGAAATGCAAGGGTTTCCAGCCACCGGGGCCACCTGATACCATTAAACAGCCCACCCTCCTTCTTGTCTCGCCATTAACCTTCCAGACAAAGGACCCACTTCTACAGCTGAGCCCAAAGCCTTTTCCTCTTGTCCATTCAAGCCCTGTTTCTTTTTTTTTTTTTAAATATCTTTATTGATCTCAGAGAGTAAGGGAGAAGGGAGAGATAGAAACATCAATGATGAGAGAGAGTCATTAATTGGCTGCCTCCTGCATGTCCCCACTGGGGATCAAGCCCGAAACCTGGGCATGTGCCCTTGACCGGAATCGAACCTGATACCCTTCAGTCCACAGGTTGACGCTCTATCCACTGAACCAAACCAGCCAGGGCCAAGCTCTGTTTCTTAACCCTAAGCAGAACAATCACCTGGCTTCTGGGCTCTATTACGTAATCAATGCTGGGCGGACATCTGTAAGGCCTGCAATTCGTTTGTCCTCCTGTCTCCTTCTCTAGTCTCAAAACCATATAGCCACACTGCCGACGGCCAGAGAAAAATGGACTCTCTGCAGTGTATGGCTTTTCTGTGCAAGCTCGGAGGAGGGATGGTCTTTAAAAAATGACCGGAGAGCGATCGATTAGAGGCCAATTCTACAAACTGTGGTTCTATCATAGGCTGGGGACACAACACGAATGCAAACACCCGTGCAGAATTGGAGGGACTGGTGGTTACAAACTAACACGCAGATGCTGATGAAATCGATTTCGATGCTGATTTTCTGGGTCTGAAAAATTAGATTTAACTCCCAAGGCGTGCCTGTTTTCATGTCGAATTTCTCCTGGACTCTCTAGTAATAAAGTAGGAATAAAGGGACCAGTGGGCTGGGAGGGGAGAGTGAAAGGGCTGCTTGTTTCTTGGGGTGCAGGTGGCCGGGGCTGCAAACAAGTATAAGCCCCTCAAGCTCCCAGGAAGGGAAGCACTGCATTGGCTCCAGGCACGGGGCAGAGTGGAGGCTCAGAAAATATGTGTTGAACTTTCTTAAATCTTTTTTAAAATTTATTTCCCAGGATTCCTTTTCCACTAACCTTCTACAATGTCCTTTGTCCTTCTTAGTTGGTCTCTTTTTACACATTCAGAAATAACCAACATATTAGGATAAACTACTTCCTTTTAACTTCTCTCAAAAACACACTCATCCCTTTCTTTTCTTCTGTAATATTCCTTCTAAATTTCAAAAGAGAAACCATAAAGAGTATTATTATTATTGACCTACCCAGTTTGGCTCAGTGGATAGAGCATCGGCCTGTGGACTGAAAGATCCTGGTAAAGGGCACATGCCTAAGTTTCGAGCTCAATTCCCAGTAGGGGGCGTGCAGGAGGCAGCCAATCAATGATTCTCTCTTATCATTGATGTTTCTATCTCTCTCCCTCTCCCTTCCTCTCTCTGAAATCAACAAAATATATATCTATATATATAAAAGCCCAGCAACCTGACTGGCATAATGACCAGAATGACTAGAACAACTGGTAGCTATGACGCACCAGGCCTGATCTGGGCCCCGATTGGCCCCCCCCCCCCAATTGGGGATGGGGCCAGCCAGCAACCTCCTGCAGCCCCCCCCCCCCCCACTGGCCCGGCCCAATAGGCCCCCATTGGGGCAGGTCGGTTGGACCCCACCTGTGCATGAATTCGTGCACCGGGCCTCAGTATATATATATATATATTTTTTTTTTAAAAAGAGTATTATTATTTAAAAAAAAGTTATCTTACATACCTTTAGCAATTATTAATAGTTGAGCTACATAAGAACAAGCCCAAAGAACAAGTACAGCTATTGTAATGACTAATATTATTAGCAGACAGGTAAAGACAATCAAATAAGAACTTTCTTAAATATTAGTCTTCGTTAGCCAGCACGTGAGCCTTGGTGTCTGGCATCCTATACCTCTTCACCCTGGAACCAGCGATGAAGAGCTTCCCCAGGGCGCAGACAATGACACTTTCCTTGAGAAAAGGGGTATGGCTCCCTTACTCACTTCTCACACTTGGGTGATCTTCATAAAAATGCAGCTTCGGGGTTAGTCCATCTGGGCCAGCCTGAGATTCTGTGTTTCTACCAAACACCCAAATGATGTCGCTTTGCTCATCCATGGACCACATCAAGAGTTTCCTGAACTAGCCTGTATTCTTCTGGCTTCCCTACTAGGCAGCTGTGTGGCCTTGGGTGGTCTCAGGGCCTCTCTGGGCTTCAGTTCTTCATTGAAGGAATATTCAATCCAGAAGTAACCCCAAGAGAAATTAGTCCAAACTCTATCTTGCCATTTAACAGATGGGGAAACGAGAGAACAGAGACAGAAAGTATTGGGTTGAGAGCAAATGACTGGTTTTCCAGCTATGCTTTCAAAAGTAGTGCTGTCCGGCCCACGTGGTATGGCTCAGTGGTTGAGCATCTGCCCATGAACCAGGAGATCCTGGTTCAATTCCCTGTCAGGGCACATGCCAGGGTTGAGGGCTTGATCCCTGGTAGGGGGCAGCCGATAAATAATTCTGTCTCATCATTGATGTTCCTATCTCTCCCTTTCTCTCTCTGAAATCAATAAAAACTTTTTTTTTTAAAAAGTAGTGCTGTCTCATAGAAATAACCACAAAATTTGAAATATGTAATTTCAAATTTTATGGTAGCCACACCGAACAGAGTAAAAAGAAACAGCTGATATTCATTTTAGTACTACATTAAACTCCTAAGTCAAATATTATTTTCACATGTGATCAAGATAGTAAGTTATTTGTGAGATCTTTCCCGTCCTTTTTTACCGTGCTAAGATTTTGAAATTCGGTGTAAGTACACTCCCGGTGAACATCTCGAGTGGCACTGGCCACATTTCCAGGATGTTCAGAGCCACGCTGGACGGGTAAAGATCAAAGTTGTCTCATCCTACCCAATTGTACCAACACAGACCATTAGGACCAATTTTCCTTTGGTCGGTAGCATCATTCCCGCGATAAGTGATCATTTTTTCACAGACACTGGACCAGAAAATTAATCTTCCAACCGGAGGTGGAGCTTCCTTTGGCCAAGTTGAATAGCATTCCATTTCTGGGAGGGACCTTCAAAGTAGCCTAATCTCATTAGATACATGACTTTGAACACCAGAAAAAGCTGAGTAGCCTGCTTCGGGGACCGGTGATGGCCGGCTGGCAGGTGGAACCCACATTTCCACAGTTCTGCATGTGGCCTGCTTATGATCCCGAGCCAGCCACCTGGGAGGTGCCCGAGAAGTCTCCCCCACCTTCTTCCCCTCCTCCCCTTCCGGTTTTGCACCAAACTGATCTGTCCCCGGAGAAGTTGCTCGATTAAAGTGAGATTTGGGAGGAGGAAGTGTGACTTCCAGTTTGCCTGGGAGGTGCACCTCCCCAGGTAACATTTGTTACATAAGCGGCAGCGTGGCACGCCTCACTGAGGAGTGTCTGCAGCGCCTGTTTCAGCCAGGCAGGCCGCTCCGGCTGTCCCTGGATCGGTGTGTGGAACTGAGGCCTGGAGCAGGCATCTGATGAGCAGGGCCAGTTCTCGGGTGTTAGCCCCAAAGTGCTTTTCTGCTGCCACACAACCTCAAGAAAAACCAGTTTTCGGAGCACCACACCTAGGATCATATGATGCAATCCGATATTAGCGTCTCATTGCATCAGCGTTTCTGACGCATGTGTCTTTTGCTCCGGCAAAGAGGTTCCTAATGGGAAAGGAGAAAAAAAAAAAAAAAAAAGAATGAAAAAGACTCGCTGGCTGAAAGCTTAAAGGTCCTGTCAGTACTGTTCCTAATTGGCCACACAGGGTGTTTGGAGAATAAACACTCAACCAACTACTGCGGCCTGACAAGCATCAGCTTGCCATTTCCTGAAGGGGCCTTGATGGCGTATTTAGGCGAAATTCTCCTCTGGTTGGTTCTATTTGTGTTTTATATCAAAGCATCAAGGTTTAATCTCCTAAATCTCTCTTACTGCTATTAAGAAGAGGCTTTCAAAGGGTGCTTCGACTCCCTGTCTCGACCTTTCCGAACACCTCATTTCCAACGTTCTTTCACATAATGCTCTTGGCTCCCTGGACACAGGCGTTTGACTTTGATCAAATACAGTACCTTAGATTTGGACCTCGAGGTTTGTCTGTCTTTCTTTAGACATTATTTTGCCTCTCAATCTTGCTTCTTGCTATGATGCTTAAGGAATGAATGAACTGCAAACATCCTAGAACTCTATCCATCTTCAGGAAGTTGCCTGAAGAAGGAACTTCCTTGTACAGCATAGCTAAGGAAAAAAGGGTGCAGGTAAAAATCTGTGGTAGGAGACCATGTGATGATACTGAGATCCTAACACAGACCCCTCCCAGGAGGCACCAGGATCTTCTGGCAAAAAATCAATCCTTAATGCGGCTCACTGGGCTCTCCGTGAGTCAGCCCTTGCCTATGTCTTCAGTTCTAGCCTCATGGCTCTTCTCACTCAGGCCCAGAGGATGCTTTTCCTCCCAAGGGGCACGTCTCTCAAGATCCCTAGACTCTGTGTCTGTGTGTACTGCTCCCTCCGGCCGCCCTGGAATAATCTTCCCATCCCTGTTCATCTGGTGGGTTGTTGTGTGTGTGTGTTGTTTTTTTTAAGGGAAAGAGAAGGGAGAGGGAGAGAGAGAAAGAGAAAGAAACATCAATCAGTTGCCTCCCCCGTAAGGGCCTGAAGTGGGGACCAAACCCGCAACCTTTTGGTGTACAGGACGACGCTTCAATCAACTGAGCCACACGGCCAGGGCTGGTGAGTTCTATCTATCCTGTAAGTCGGCTGAACTTCCCACAGGGATGCCTTCCCTGGCCCAGCATAGGATGAAGTCCCTTGCCATGATGGTCCAATGAAGGTATCACTTTGCAGTGCTTGTGTGGGGGGAGGAAAAAGCTGTCCTCAACCCTCCCAGTCTCCAGCTGGGACTGAAAATTACTGGCAAAGACAGAGAAACAGGAGAAAAGGATACAAGTTTATTTTAATGTAAGTGCCATGTGAAATAGAAGGACACAGAGACCCAAAGGACAGCTTTTGTGTTTTTCTGCTGAAGAGTGGATAGCCATGGAGGACTAGGGTAGGTTGAGGAGTAGGAGACAAGTGTCTAGTTGAGGGAAACTTATCAAGGCCTGTTTACTAGGATTCTTCCTGGTGGCCCTTGATCACAGATAAGGATGCTCCTTTCCTCCCGGTACCGCGGGGCACCTCTCCCCTGAGGGCTTTATGGCTTATTTCAGAGAAGAAGGTCTGAGGGTGGGGGCGAGGGTCAGAGTGACCTTCCTGCTCCAGCCATTTTCTCAGAACTCCTTCAGCTTAAAACATTCAATGTGCCAGCCCGTGTTGCTCAGTGGTTAGCGTGGACCTATGAACCAGGAGGTCACGACTGGCTTCCCTGTCAGGGCACATGCCGGGGTTGAGGGCTTAATCCCCAGTAGGAGGTGTGCAGGAGGCAGCCAATCAATGAGTCTCTCTCATCACTGACGTTTCTGACTCTCCCTTCCACTCCGAAATCAATAAAAATATAGTATTTTAAAAAATATATCCGATATGCCAAGGTGCCACATTTTGGGGTGGCCTGTCCTGAACCCACCCCTTACCACACGTGTATTGAGGTAAGTGTGCCTGTTAGACCTTGCATTCCTGCAGGGTGGATATCTTGTATCCCCAGCACCTAGTACTGTGTGTCTTGCATGTACCAGGTGCTCACTAAATAGTTGTCAAAACACGAAAATTTTCCATCAAAACTAGCTTTCAGTACATCCTTGGCCTCCAAGTTAACTACTAATTAATTAGCAAACCTTTATGTAACTCTACCATGTAGCAGCATCCTACTACATCCTGGGGACACATCCATAGGCAAGGAGAAAAAAAATACAGCTGCTTTTTTTTCTGTACAGGGGGAAATTATTCAAATTGTATTCGTGCTTCATTCCAATCACTCAATTAGGGCACGTCCCTTGCTAGCGGATGCGCGAGCCAAGTATTTTCACTCGAGTGTCCTCCGGTGACCTGTCTAGACA